ACCGAATTGGATTTACGTAGTATAACTTTGCGCTAGTTTTAAATGGATATCTGTCATTGATTTTCTAAAGTCGAAAACGAATTTGGTGCGCACCCAATAGGGACTTCTTGTGTGTTATTGTACCACGGATGTCAGTTTGTGAGATGCAAACCTATGCGGCACTATCTTTTAGCGTCCGCAACCGTAAAAATACCGTAACATGGCAATATATATTACTGGATAAATGGCCGCGTGATGGTTATCTAAGGCGCACACAATAGCGTCGAATGATTTAAAGGTTACCTCAAAAAACTAACACAGCTAACAGCCGCCATACAACTCAATACAATACTACCGACAACTATCAGGTGCTTAACGAGTGTAAAAAAACGTTCTGTCTGCGCGGAGTACATACATTTTTATTGTCCTTTACAATTATTGTGTACCCACAAATGGCGACCGTTTCAGCTCTATATGGTGGGTACACATAATATTGTGTTCTTGTTGGGTTTTTAATCTAATTGGTTTAGTAATTACCATACTGTGCCTATTGAAATGTTATAGTAGTGCGTAACAATAAAGATACCAACTCTAACCATCGGCCATTATTTCCCTGTAGGATATACGATACTTATTACACATGCGTTACTATTCCATGACAATGTTCGTTTGTCATTCAACACTAACATGCACAGTCGAATATGATAGTTTTTGCAAAATAAAACTTAAGATTTTTATTTATATTCGTATAGAAAATTGTGTACTAGAGATATATTGTTTTAAATTAGTCACGTGTTACTCACAGGTAATTCATTTATGTACGTAAAATGATAAATGAGTTATTATTGAAAAAAAATCTTGACAAGCAGTTTGTTAAGTTTCTCAAGTAATTTTTTTCTCGGTTGTAATAATACCGTTTAACTTGATGGTTGTCTGTTTTTTAATTAACTAGAACATTGGTACACTACATTATAAATGGCTCAATTACAATTTCTATCATTTGACTTCTTAGCAAACCTTATAGATTAAATTGACATATTGAATGTTAATAGGTTAGTTCTAAATTTTACTTTTTTTTTCGTTAACACGGTTGCGTTCTTTTTGGCCTAAATTCATTCAAAAATATAATTTGCACGAAGGCATTTATTAGACTCGGATGGTAATGTGTGCAGTTATATCAGTCTTGGAACATGTTCAAATATATCAAAATAGTAAATAAATTAATGTCTGAATCATTACATTCATAAATTATATTTTACATTAATGTACAGCTACCGAAGTCATTGCATTAAGTTGCTCTCGTAAAATACATGTTTTACACTCGATAACAACTTGAAATAAAGAACTCTTCAAAATAATTGTTGAAAAAATTTAGTTTACAAGAGCCCATAGATGTGTTTACTCAAATTATACTCAGTAATTTTCTTGGTATTTTAACTTAATAAAACGTGATCAATTTTTATTTTTCTTATTTTTAATTAAAAACATTAAATAAAATATTCAAGTTAAATATATATATATTTCACAGATGTAGCGTGAAAAATAAAAAATTATATTACTTTAAAATAGTTTTACGATAAATACAAACTATTTAATTTTGACACTTAGATATATTTTGACACTAAAAAACTTTATATCCATTAACAGCATAATTGATGATTTTCAACAGCTTGTAAGATAATGTCACACTATTAGAAAGTTGTGTGTTCTTATAGATAATCTGTTATAATTTGTACACTATTATAACATATATTTTTGGACAGAGTAATCCAAAGTAAAGGTTACAAAATTAGTTGAAATTTCCATTTACTTATAATTTGAATTACTCTGTATACATTTTATAAATTTTTCTAGACAAAATAAATAAATCTCTGAATATTTCTCTATCATGATTGAACTACGCTAACAACATAAAATGTTAAACGTTAAATTTTAATTGCTTCATTTTATATCCAACTTAGCGCTTTGTTTTAGGGGTTTTGAACTACTATAAAATTTATCAAAGGATACTAGTTATTCAACGTATACATTGAACTCTTTGTTTAAATCTACTCCAAATCCGCAACTGTTCATCTACTATTTCATTTATTTCAAATAATGACTTTGGTCTTTAAATCCAAGTGGAGGTTTTATTTATGAAGCTATTAATCTAATAATATCAATGGAGGTAATAAAATTTGGGACTGGGCAATAAAATACTATTATTACAACTTTATGATTTTTTGTGTTAAAACATTTTTAACGATAAGAGGATACCGCGTATCGTTTTATCTACACACTAATGTTTACTATTACACTTGAATGCATAAAATACATTAGTAACGCACTATTCTTGCAATTAGCCTTCCTCGTGATTAATATTCAGTGATTCATGAGACAAAATGGCCCAATACCACTGCTGACCAAAGTTTGCACAAAACTACCTTAGTGTGCTTGCGAGTTTGACCACCAAATTGCTTGGAAATGATAAATTAATGTGTATAAAAGTGACTACCGCCCAATAGCATAAATCATGTGATTGTTTATTACTTAACAGCTATGTGAAAAAACAGTAAATTCTCGTCGGTTTTCCTATTCGATGCGGGATTTGCTCCTTGTTAGGGTTTAAAGTTTAAACGCTTATAAAATTGGCAAAAACTTAAAAGGAACGCCTTTCTTCTTCTTCATAAAGGTACAACGTCGATCGATAGTAATTTATCGGTTCAAAACTGCGGGTCGTCTCTTCCCTAGTTCAATATTGCCGTTCATAAATTATTACTGACCTTCTCCGGTATAAACGTTTGGTCGCGGTTTGTCGCCCAGTTTTGCGGATTCCCTATCCAATCAGTGAAAGAAGTTAAGTTATGAAATACACATTGCAACTTAGTGGATTTTGAGGAAAAAATATATTTGAACTGTTAGAGCGACCGTAAAGCTAAATCATATTTATATAATATGTTAAAAAATATGTGCTTGAAATACTCTTTGTCAACTGTTCTTGTATTACATTATGTTACAAGCTTATCTGTATTATTTATATTTTCCTCGTGGGATCAATTTATTTTAGCATTTTAAATTGTATTTATATAAAAGTAGTGTGTACATATTCATTCGAAATTTCAACGTGTACAAATTATTCGAAATTAGGACTTATATAAACTTGCAGTTTGTTGACTAACTTATTTTATTTGGGTCATAAAGTAATCGTTTTAATGATATACTAGAGATATTCCTTAATTTACGGATCTACGTGAAAAACTTGGATGAATGTGTTCTCTCGGAGTTAACGTTTTCGCATTTTAAACTTCTTAAGATTAGATTTATTAGTACTTAAAAATATGTCAAGACCATTAAACCATCACGTATACTTATAATATATAATAAAAACATTTTAATAAAGTTGGCCTAATGTATGGTTGTTGCCAAACTTTTTTAGTTTACGACTAGCCCAATACATTATTTAATTTTATATATATACATAATTAAGTTATAAAATTTTCGATTACGACCTATTCGAATTGTGGTTCGTAGGTGTCATATAATTACTAGGCGTTAAATTTCCCATTGTTCTTTTATTCATAAAGCATTTTTATCGTTCCACATTTAAGGTAATTATAGTTATTTTATAAAAACAAATTAATGTAAACATTTATAATGTGCTGTTAATGTACAAACACGAGTACACGTTCAATGATTTTTTTGTGCTCATGTTGTTTGTCGTAGGCATCGTGTATTGTTAATTTAATTGAATGCACAAGTAGCGCCTTACCGACGAACGGTACATCAAGTTTTTTCGCTTTTGCACGCGTCTCTGAACATTCTGATTAGCTTCTTCATTTTGTCATTTGTGAATCCATTTTATTTTTAATTGTTTTCTGTAAATGTCACGATAGGTACGCACAAATAAACACATAGATNGTCGTAGGCATCGTGTATTGTTAATTTAATTGAATGCACAAGTAGCGCCTTACCGACGAACGGTACATCAAGTTTTTTCGCTTTTGCACGCGTCTCTGAACATTCTGATTAGCTTCTTCATTTTGTCATTTGTGAATCCATTTTATTTTTAATTGTTTTCTGTAAATGTCACGATAGGTATGCACAAATAAACACATAGANACGACTAGCCCAATACATTATTTAATTTTATATATATACATAATTAAGTTATAAAATTTTCGATTACGACCTATTCGAATTGTGGTTCGTAGGTGTCATATAATTACTAGGCGTTAAATTTCCCATTGTTCTTTTATTCATAAAGCATTTTTATCGTTCCACATTTAAGGTAATTATAGTTATTTTATAAAAACAAATTAATGTAAACATTTATAATGTGCTGTTAATGTACAAACACGAGTACACGTTCAATGATTTTTTTGTGCTCATGTTGTTTGTCGTAGGCATCGTGTATTGTTAATTTAATTGAATGCACAAGTAGCGCCTTACCGACGAACGGTACATCAAGTTTTTTCGCTTTTGCACGCGTCTCTGAACATTCTGATTAGCTTCTTCATTTTGTCATTTGTGAATCCATTTTATTTTTAATTGTTTTCTGTAAATGTCACGATAGGTATGCACAAATAAACACATAGATTTTTTTTTTGTTTATTCCATGGTAACCAATGATAGGTCGTACAAACAAATGCGATTGCTAATCCTGTAATTTTCACGCATTCTGGTTCACCGAGCAAAATACAAATGAGAGAAACCGCCTGTTAACCGCAATAACTGCAGCGGTTAGTAACCAAATGTCACGGTCAATGCAGATAAAATAATGTTTTCATTGTGTGACTTACTGTAATTTTATCTGGGTTAAATAGTGACTGAGATGAATTAAGAAATGTATAAATTTATTTGTTTGTTTATTTTACGAGTTTCAACTAATGTTGCTAATGTGTCATATATGCCTTAATAAAACACTATGGTAGTTTTTACCGACAAAAAATCCAGTTAATTATTTTAGTTTTTAATTTGATTACTGCTGAAATTATCTAACCAATGTTATGTCTTAGATATAATTTTTTTTTTGTGTGTTACAGGTTGTGAACCATGTGGGCAGAATGAGTCGTAGCCGTAGAAAACTATTAGTTTATGGGCTAATCGCAGGCACCATATTATTATTCATTTACAATCTACGATCATGTTCACGACCGGAGGCACAAAATGTCTTTATGGTACCAAAAGAAGTAAGTTATCAAAAATAGCTGAACGTTCATTATACGAGTAACTTATCAATCTATCCATTTAGTACACTGTTCTTAGTAAACCGTCCAAGATTGTGAAATAAAAATTAATTTAAACAAATAATTGCTATACTCTGAAATGATCGTTTTCCCATTAATAGATATTTTGTCGAATAATAGATAGATTTTTCGGAATTATTCACTCGCCGTCTATCTACTCTTTTCAGTTGTGGTTACGTGTGTTCACTTATCATAATGTTTTAAGACTTAATTGTTGTTGNACCGGAGGCACAAAATGTCTTTATGGTACCAAAAGAAGTAAGTTATCAAAAATAGCTGAACGTTCATTATACGAGTAACTTATCAATCTATCCATTTAGTACACTGTTCTTAGTAAACCGTCCAAGCTTGTGAAATAAAAATTAATTTAAACAAATAATTGCTATACTCTGAAATGATCATTTTCCCATTAATAGATATTTTGTCGAATAATAGATTGATTTTTTTCGGAATTATTCACTCGCCGTCTATCTACTCTTTTCAGTTGTGGTTACGTGTGTTCACTTATAATGTTTTAAGACTTAATTGTTATTACGAATAAATAACGGTTTTAGAATCTTCGCTATGCGCCGGTGGTGTTTTGAATTAAAATACGATGTTTTGTATTGGGGATTCGATTAATAGGAACGGGTGCGTATGCAAAGCGCATTTCTTCTGTTGTTTAAAGACATCATTTTAAAGCTTTTATCCGAAAGAAACGTAATACTGACTTATTTCATTGATCCTGATTAATCACTGAATCTGTTCAATGTAATAAATCACTAACAAAAGTGTTTATATAGCAAACTGGATTTAGATTGTCACTGTTTGTAATTTTTCTCTTTATTTCCATTTGTAACATTTGGGTATTCATTTTTGTGTTCATCAAACGTCGAACAACTAACTATTATGCGCAAATATTATATTTGATTTTGTTTTGTTTTCCAAACTGTCATATTCTATTTATCTTCCGATCTGAATTATTCCAATCGTTATATCGCCAACTATATTTAGAAAACTGGAGAACTGTATCGCTGTGTCTAGAGAAACGATTATAGTACATGCATAAGTTGTTTATCACATTTTTATAAAATTAGATTTTTTTTCTGGTTTTATATTTTTCCTATAACTGTTGATGAATGAAATTCAATCATAATATAAATTTGCCGCCGTTTTATATTTTTTAGAAATTTATTACCGACAAAGACATGAAAGTATACACATACGATCGAGACATGCCTCTGATATTTATTGGCGGCGTGCCGAGGTCCGGTACAACTCTTATGAGAGCAATGTTAGACGCACATCCTGACGTTCGGTAATTTTTTTATTGCATTTTCCATACAACGATGACTAATGATATAATGTTATCTTTAGATGTGGTCAAGAGACTAGGGTTGTGCCCAGGATCTTACAAATGCGCAACCATTGGTACAAATCGTCTAAAGAGACGTTGAGACTGAAGGAGGCTGGAGTTTCAGAAGAAGTGGTCAATTCGGCAGTGGCCGCTTTTATTCTAGAAGTGATCGCACGGCATGGTGTTCCGGCCCCGCGATTGTGCAACAAAGATCCTCTTGCACTCAAATCAATGGATTATCTGAAAGTTCTGTTCCCAAATGCCAAATACATTTTCATGGTGCGTGACGGCAGGGCCACAGTACATTCGATTATATCGCGAAAGGTAAATTGGATTTTGTCTCTTTACAATTTTTCATCAGTTATAAATCTAATCTTTTAACAATGACTTACAAGTAAACACGTTGATGGAAACAATGTGTTATTTGGATTTTAATGTGTTGTATTTTTACAATGAAACCTATAAATAGTGCCATTTATTAAAGAATATTGGTAGATTCCATTAGATGTTATTCGAGTATCCGCAAATTCAGTTTAGTACATTTCGTAGTATTTCGATATTCTTTTTCGAACAGTTATTAAGAAAGATATTTGATTACTACTCGGCTTTAATTATACTTGTTTCTTGTAATAATACATTTTTTCAATAAATATCTATTATTCTTTAAGGTGACAATCACTGGTTTTGATTTGACCAGTTACAGACAGTGCTTGGAAAAATGGGATGATGCTATCAGTATCATGTATAAAAACTGTCAAAAAGTAGGACCAACGCACTGTTTAATGGTATATTACGAAGAATTAGTGTTAAGACCTCGTGATACATTGACTCACATACTGAAATTTTTAAACATACCATGGAATGAAACGGTTCTCCATCACAATGAAATGATAAACAAACCAGGAGGAATCGCCTTATCGATGTAAGTAGTAATTGGTATTATATTAGAATGATTTTAAGAAGATATTGTCAATTTGGACTATAAGTGTTATGTAAACATTAAAACTTAAGGTTCCACTGTTAGATGCATATTTAAATAAGGAAAATAAAAAAGTTAAAACTATATTGGTGATAAATAATTTTATCGGTACACTTGTTGTATGTTATAATAAAATTAAAATGAAAGAACCAGTTATAAATCATAGACTAACCTTAATATGTTATTTAGCTTTAATTATAATACAATATAATGTTTCTAATTAGGGTGGAACGTTCTTCGGACCAAGTTGTTAAACCCTTGTACCAAGAAGCGTTAACTAAATGGGTTGGTCAAATTCCTGATGATGTTGTAGCTGAAATGGATAGTATTGCACCTATGTTGTCTGTTCTGGGGTATGATCCAATGGCAAACCCGCCTGTTTATGCGATTCCAGAGAACGAACAACAAAATAGTAGTTCTAATGTTGATATTATAGAAAAAGAATCTACTGAAAGATAGTGAATTCTATCTTTAGCCAAACCTACTTTATTTTTCATGTTATTGAAAATATGTAAATATAAATAAATGTAATTTTACAACATATATTTTGTATATATTATTATTTTTTCATTTTATATTGTCTCATGTTGGGTATTATAGTTAATAATGATTATTTTGTTTTTATACTTATATTTTGTACTTATTATATATTTGTATTACAGCAGTAAATTCTGTAAATTTTTTTTAATTGAATTAAATATATTCGACAATCTTTAAATTATTAAATTTTAGTGCTTTAATTTTAACTTTTTTAGTACTTTTAAGCTATAATNAATATCTCAATAATTAATTTTTTTACATTTTATTAAAAATATTAATATTTTTAAATTTTAAATAAAATGTAAAAAAAAAAATCTAAGATAGCTATTTTGTAGAGTAGAAATTATGAAAAATTTTAGTAAAAAAATATCTTATTAATATTCAGTAGTAAATATTCATAGCGTTTTGAAGTTTGTGAAAATTTGAATTTTCATGTATTATTTTACGGTATTAAACATTGAAATACGTTTTGAGAAAAGGACAGAAGAAAACGCTATCTTTTCATGATTACTGTGTATACATATGATGATAATGTGTATACATTACAAACTTGGCATTAATACCATGATAAGAAATTAGATAAGGCAATTATTACTTATCACTCTCATTAAAAAGTATATTGAAAAGATAGCGTTTTCTTCTGTCCTTTTCTCAAAACGTATTTCAATGTTTAATACCGTAAATTTATACATGAAAATTCAAATTTTCACAAACTTCAAAACGCTATGAATATTTACTACTCAATATAAATAAGATATNACAAACTTCAAAACGCTACAGAATATTTACTACTGAATATTAATAAGATATTTTTTTACTAAAATTTTTCTTAAATTCTACTCTACAAAATAGCTATCTTAGATTTTTTTTTACATTTTATTTAAAATTTAAAAATAATTAATATTTTTAATAAAATGTAAAAAAATTAATTATTGATATAGCTATAGACCTAACGTATAACTATTATTAAAAAAAAAAAAATTAGCTAAAAATATTAACTGGAACAAAAGTTAAGTTTAAGTTGTCAGTGAGTGGTGGGCCACTCTATATATATATATATATCTTGCATTTTCAATTGACCTTTGTGTACAGTTAATCAACTAAAAATATTATGATTTTTATCATCAAAAACTAATTTTGATAATAGATTCATATTTCTTATACAGAGCAATTTTTGTTTACAACTATTTTTTTTTAATTCAAACAATAATCTAAAATCAACCTATTTCCGGAGAATTTGGTCATTTAATTGAAAATTTCAGTGAAAAAAAGATTTTTTTTGGATATTTGACAAAAAAAAATTACTTCTACAAAATAACATTTATTGGAAATCATAATTCACATTATCAACAAATTCCTAACTGTGTAAAAGAACCAAGTTCCAACCTAATTCCTTCCTAAATATTTAAGGTTACAAATTCTTTAGCTTATAAACTTCAATCCTATTTTCATGAGCAACATTGTTCTTTTATTCGTATTGCTTAATACTTGGCCAGTATTTGAATAAAGCATAAAACATATTTCACTGCAGTCTGCAGTTCTAAATAAATCCCGCGAGGAAAAAATAATGACATTTATATATACAGAGTGGTTCATTATGGTTAAGTCACTCATTTTCACGGAAACTATTGAAAACTTTTAATTTTTGTAAAGGAAAAATATTGTTTGATTTAAAAAACTCTACAATAATATGTAGTTAAATAATTTGTTATAATATATTTATTAGCGTAGTAATTAAAAACTATTTTTTTTTACTCCATAGACCCTCTAATTATTTTAAGGGTAAAAAATAAGGTATGCAAAATTTGAATCCGAAATGTTAAAGTTACCATGTACCCCACGGCCTCGGAAGTTGAGTAAAATAGCTATTTTTTAAAAAAAAGCTTATCTTTTCTACATTGTAGTACTCAACTTATTGTTACGGTTGTTTGATCCATAAATAAAAAATGTTATTGGGAATTAAAAAAACTAATTTTTGTGATAGTTAAATAATCAAAAACAACATTAGTTCTATTAAAAACAAAAAATATGTAAAAATATCAGAAAATCCTTCTTTTTTTTTTATCAAACATTTTTTTAGAACAGTAATAATGGAGATATAAAAAAATCAAAATATACATTCAGAGTGGCGTATTTAGAAATTTATAATGAGAGTGGCACAAAAAATGTTTATGAATAAGGTATTATAAAACGACTTTTTTTTTTTTTGCTCATGTTTTATTAACACATTAAGTATAAATTTTAGATTTTTTTGAAAAAAAAATCTGTTATTTGTTTTAAATCCATTTTAATTAATAGAAATATATCTTTTTATACAGTGTGTATCTTTACGTAATAAACACTTCAAAGTAGGTGATAACATTAACGGTACAACTGAGCGGGCGTCAAATTTTGTTCCACAAGACAACTATATCGACTAACATTTCATAAACCCATTTTATTATCGATAACCAGAAAAAAACTTTTTTTAGTGATATTATTAGACATTTTTGCATTGCTTGATAAAATATTTACATAACTCAGTCAATGTGGTGGGAGGGGCACGTTCTCATATGCCCCTCTCTAAATATAGCACTGTGTATATAACACATTACAATTTAAATTTATGTATAATACATTCATAAGCACTTTTTGATGCTGAAAACGATGGTGTAAATAAATTTTATGTAGCATAATTATTTCTTTTGCTATTAAAGTATTGCCGACTTGACTTAATGATCAGTAGACAATTTTCAAACTTTGAAAAATTAATTAATTATTATTTATAAAAATGTTAATAATTTTTCAAATATTTCTAAACTATTAAAATTTTTTAATTCCTCGATATATTTTATTAAATATATTTTTAATTATTCATATATGCAGAATTATGACTATTATCAATACATTCTTTTAACATCAAAATATGCACTTGCATGCAAAATAATATTTTGAATATTTTTGAATTTCAGTATATTATAGAATGCTATAACATATCACTATACGGAATATAGTTCTGAATACTGTAGCATCTATTTAAACAACAAAAATTACATAGAAATGTTTACTAAGACTTCTATTTCAATGATTAATAACAATAAAAATCGTGATTTTATAGAAATTTTGAATTTTTCTTGTAAATTTACTGTTAATAGTAATTGTGTAAGGTCCTTAATCATACATCAATCTAAAAAATTCAATTTTTATTCCTCATGAAATTTTCTATTTAACGCTCTAACCACAAGTGAAATGAAGTTACATATAACACAAGGTGGGGTGTTTCCATACCCCAGGCATTACTTATTACGATTGATGGATGACATATAATTATTTAAAAAATAAAATGTTGTAAAATGTTTTCCAGCACTTTTCATTCATTCATTCGGTTAGATTTTGACCAATTTCCTCGAATAGCAACTTAATATGAGAAAGATTCCTTTCATTGTACTTTTTATACATTTCCGAGGACACCAAACATTTTTTAACGCGCATAATTATACTTGAATAAGTATTATGAATAATTAGGATCATTTATTACAGGTTGGTGATAAAAAAAAACCTTTTATTTAGAATATAATATTTATTTATTTCCTTGTAACACTAACAATATTAGAAAAAAAATTACACCAACATATAAAATTTATAAAATAACTATATCAAACTAGTATCATCAGGAAAATCTTCAAAACATTTATAACAGTACTTAATTACCCTCTCGTGCTCTTTGCAAATCGGTAATTTGCATTTTGATCAGGAACTCGTTGTCTTTTTGTCCTTCTTTCGATCGCAAAAGTTGCACCACTTATATTTTTTAGAACCTGTCAGAGGCTGTTCTGTTGCAGAAGGAGCTGCTATACCCAAAACCTTCCGAATGTCATCCCTAAGTGTCTTAGGGAGCTTTTTATTATTGATTCGTTGTCTCATGAAAGGTTCTGCGAGTTGAAATGTATGGTTTTTCAAAAAACTGGCCCGATTGTAACGCGCCCCATCTCCTTTCTTTAGCAAATATAAAACATTGCTATTATAACCAGCTGTATCAAGAATGCCGAAAAAATAACGTATTGGCCAACGTGTATGAGTGACATAACTTGTCAAAAACATTTACACCTCCTTTAAACAAGTTGTAACATTCCACTATTTCTGGCTTTTCTGTAATTGTATTTACTTCTCCTGTATCGTGCATCGTGCTCAATAAAATGACGTTATTATTATTTTTTTGATTGTAGGAAACCAATGTTTTGTCTGGCTGGTATACAAACCTTGACGAATTCAATGGTATACGTGTTACTGAAACCATGGATGGTGGTATTTCCCGCTTGTTTTTTCTTAGGGTTCCCACCATTGTAAGCTTGCGTTCAGTAAGTTGTTCAGCAAGTTGGTAGGAAGAAAACCAATTGTCCATACTGACATTCCGGTTTGTACCTTTTAAGTTTTCAGTCAGCTGTAACACATATCTTGTTGGCTGCAACATGGTACTTGGGCCTAGCAATGTGTTTTTACCAATGTATGGAATTCCCTTACAATTTTTAACCCATATTTGTCAGGTTTTAGGGGTAGATACATCTTGAAGAGACGCCTCTAAAGCTTAGTAGAGTTTCATCTACGGTTACATATTCAGATGGGGTATAGTTGTTTTCGCAGTTCCCACAAAATCTAGTCCAAATTTCCCGAAATGCTGTAAATTTATCATTTATCTTCCTTTCTTTCCTAGTAACTTTACTATCAAACCTTGAAGTATTTAACAGAAATTCAAATCTGTTTCTGTATATAACAGACCGAAATAGTGGCGGTCCAAAAATATTTGAGTACATATCGCTAATGTTAAGTCCTTAGTCTTTCAAAACACCACTAAAAAAAAGGAGGCCAAGCAAAGCTTTTATTTCAAGTTTTTCTGTGGGCCCATATATATCACTGCTGACTTGTAAAATTTTCTGCCTGCCGTGTGATTTCCTCATTGGTGTATTAGACAAGTTTGTCCAATATAATATCATCAAAAAAATAGAAAAACAACGCTGACTCATTATTTGTAGTCTTAGCAGTGCTTCTTGGTCCAGGAAGATGGCTTACGAGGTTCCGTACAGGAACTCTAGTTCTCTTATTTTACAAGGTTTTTGTGGTCCATATCGTTTCTTCATCTTTCCCTAAAACAAAAATTCTATCTTCAGATGATGTTGGCAGATTAGCGTATACATCACCTTT